TTTGTACAGCTCATCTGAGGCAATAAATAAACTCGAGTCAGTTTCTGATTATCAGGGAGCCCCTTAATGGTTTCCCCAACAAAACAGGCAGCTCTTTTTGTGTTCTGTCAGCACTCAGCCTTTTCACCCAGCAACAACAGAAAGAAGATGCTCACATATAAAGGGCAGTGTACAGCTAAGAGTTAGAATGAGGTTTGATTACATGATAAGATGGACCGGGAATGGGACCACTGTATCAAGTACTGATTTATGCATTCAAGTTGCTTTGGGGCCACACAGTAAGTTCCAAGCTTGGGCTCTAAGTCTATTGGCTCCCTACAGCTAATCATTTCTCTATTACTCACTATGCCTTTTCTGTGCTGTATCTGTCACATACCTGCCTGATCAGCACCTGTTCAGGGATTGAACCTGGGTCTCTGGCACAGAAGTGCACAGGCCTAGCCATTCAGCCACTGGAAGGACTTGATTCCTGCTGCACGTTTTTTGTACTCAGCAACTCTCCTTATGGACAATTTGGCTCCACCTGCCAACCAGCTGTAGAAGATCTGCAAATAACTCAGGACACTTCCTGTGCTCTGAGCCCGTTGATTTGGGTTAGTTTCCTGTGTGAGCTACCTCTGTGTCGTATGCCTGATTTGCCCCTTGACTCTTGCCTGTTTCCTGACTATTCTTCTGCCTGCCGATTTTGTACCTTGCTGTCCGTTCGTGTCAAGACCTCTGCCCGCTTCCCAACTACTCTCCTGGATCCCGACTTTGTACCTCATTGCCAGACTGTTGCCGACCCTGCCTGCCTCACCATGTCTTTGCCTTATCCTCATCCAAAGATCCACTTAGGACTCAGCCTACTACAGGTGCGTTTCAGTATCTTTGTGTGGGACAGCAATTTTGGTAAGGGCTGATGGTAAGGGCTGATGAAGCAGGGAGATCCTTGCCTGGGAGGGGGGTCATCAGATACAGCTTCCTCTCCAGCAAGGAGAACATTGAGCAGCAGAGTGGTGACATCACCAAATCTCACTCCAAATCTGCTGCTGGAGGAAGTGAGTTTCCCAGAAAAAATAAAGCAGAAGCATGGAGATTCTTTCCTGGGAGTCATCAGATACAGTTTCCTCTACAGCAAGGAGAACGTTGAGCAGCAGAGTGATGACATCATCAAATCTCATTCCAAATCTGCTGCTGGAGGAAGTGAGTTTCACAGAATAAATAAAGAAGAACCAGGGAGATCCTTGCCTGGAGGTCATCAGATACAGCTTCCTCTCCAGCAAGGAGAACATTGAGCAGAAGAGCGGTGACATTGCCAAATCGCACTCCAAATCTGCTGAGACTAGCAGTCAGTGTACCTTAGATGATCTCTTTCTGCAAACACAGCTATGAAGCTTAAGACACAGGAGTGGTTAGACACAGGAAGTCTACCTCTCTACTAAGCCACAACTATCATTTCTAGATGATATAAGACAACAAATCTTCACTTTTTGAGCTTAGGGCCACTTCAAAAATAGTTGACTACCTAAGAGAGAGTTTTTACATAGCACCAACTTACATACCACACAGTTATATCTGTCCCATCCCTCAATGAACTCATAATTGAAGGGCTTTGCCTTTCATGCAATAGGGCCAATTTGCCTATTAGCATGTCTTTGGAGAAAACATGTGCAAGCACAACATGCAAACTCCATGCATATGGTGTCCTGGCTGAGATTTGAAGTGAGAACCTGTTTGCTACAAAGCAGAGGTTCTAACCCCTAAGCCATTGTGCTCTTTCATTTATTTTCTCTTTTTTTTTCCAACCCAGAATGTTCAGCTTTAATTACTTCTTCCTAATCCTTTATAATGTAACATCTACCTACACCTACGTAGGTACATTCTAGTTCATCCTTTTTCAGTCTGTATACATAAGCTCAAAAGACAAATAGATTTTGATCTACTTTCTTCCTCTAATGCAGCTCCTCGGGACACCAGCACATTACCCAGGCTTCCACCGGCACATTACCAAGGCTTCCACCGGCCCTTCATTATAAACAAGTGTTTGCACAAGGTTCCAAATGCTTCTTACATTGGTGAAAAAATGCTTCTTACATTGGTGGTCAGTACAAAGAATGGTCATTACATTAGTGTTCAGTGGGAAGAATGTGCCTTGCATTGGTGGTCAGTGAGAAGAATGCCCCTTACATTGGTGGTCAGTGAGAAGAATGCCCCTTACATTGGTGGTGAATGAAAAGCATGGTCATTACATTGGTGGTCAGTGAGAAGAATGCCCCTTACATTGGTGGTCAGTGAGAAGAATGCTCCTTACATTGGTGGCCAGTGGGAAGAATGCCCCTTACATTGGTGGTCAGTGAGAAGCATGATCATTACATTGGTGGTCAGTGGAAAGAATGCCTCTTACATTGGTCGTCAGTGGGAAGAATGCTCCTTACATTGGTGTTCAGTGGGAAGAATGCCCCATACATTGGTGTTCAGTGGGAAGAATGCCCCTTACATTGTTGTTCAGTGAGGAAGAATGCCCCTTACATTGGTGGTCAGTGGAAAGAATGCCCCTTATATTGGTGTTCAGTGGGAAGAATGCCCCATACATTGGTGTTCAGTGGGAAGAATGCCCCTTACATTGTTGTTCAGTGAGGAAGAATGCCCCTTATATTGGTGGCCAGTGGAAAGAATAGCCCTTATATTGGTGTTCAGTGGGAAGAATGGTCCTTACATTGGTAGTCATTGAGAAAAATGCTCCTTCTCCTCAATGAGAAAAAAGCTCCTTACGTAGGTGTACAGTGGGAAGAATGCCCCTTACAGTGCTAGTCAAGATGCCACCCTTATAGAAAGCTAAAAGAAGGCCCTGTAATTATGCAATCGCCATCAGATGGAAGGTCAATTGGACAATCCTGAAGGAACCCTTAGCAACCACAAGAGGAACCCGAGAGGTCAAAGGAACCCTGATTGATAATGGCTGTTCTATTGAAAGGCTTAAAAAGAAGTGAAAGTCCAAAACACACAACATTCCTTCAGCCCAGCCCTCTCTGCATATTCAATGTGAAACTTTACATCTTACCGCCCTCCACTGATGCAAGCAAATCCAGTTTCCTTCTGCTATGTTGGGTGCACACATACGATCTGACATAACTATCAGCCTGTTACCAGTGAATAAGAAGCTCCAGAAGGCTAGTGGTAGGTCTCTTCTCTGTATCAATGTACTTTGTGGGGTTTTTATTTCTGTTTTCTCTTGGAAGTATCTAGAGTTTAATACTGTGAAGGTAGAGAATTCTGTACATAGGGTTGGTAGGAAATATAACATTGAAATGGTTGTAAACCCAATCTCACATTTAGTTTACTAAAGCATTACTTACCAGGAATGATTGCAGTTTTTAAAAATAAAATACAGTTTTCTCTTTTCTATCTTTTGTTACATTTCAATGCTGCATATTTGCAGCCGCTTCCTATTTACATGCACTCTAGCCATGGCTGTATAGCATTTTCTCAGGGTGGGTTTGCTCAACAGTGAACCATCTGCCCAATGAAGCCATCACTTGTGGTCAGCTTTGGAAGCTCATATGACAGGGTGACTACACAGGAGTAGAACTATGAGACGGGGACACAGTGTTGTCACCATATAACTGAAAGTTCCTGAACAAGGACCTTTATGGCATCATCAGCAGGCATTAATATTCTGAAAGCTGAAGATTGAAAAATATTGAAAATGACTTTTGAAATAACATTATATTTTAATGTTTGTATTAGATTTGAGTGATTGATTTTATACATAGAGTACCAATAAATACTTGAAAATGTCTTCCATTTAAATTCATCATTTGAACAACCTTATGGAATGAACGTTTTTTTAGTGCAGTAATCTATAGTGAACAATCAGAAGTTACTCTGTTTAAGTCAAACCAGTATAAGTTGATTCACTTTTCTGATTCACACCCTACACAGCAAATTATTAATCCCTGGTGGTTTGTGCCAGCTTTGAGTCTATATTACTTCCCAATTATATTTAAGCTCTGAAGAAAGTGGAGGTCTTCAAGCCCCTGAAATACCTTGGGTGTTCTATGTTGTGGTTTGTTAACCCATTCTATCATTAAAAGCTTTTGGACTCATACCCATTTGTTTGGTGCTCTCATTGGACTTTATATAGAAGAAGGTAAGTCTGCAAGTTGTGTTGTTAGAGAATTTTATTATTATTTTATGTCCATCGAGTTCAACCTATAGAGATAAGAAAGAAAAAAAAAGCCTAAACAGAACTCTATGCCCACAGTTACCCGCTGTTGATCCAGAGGAAGGCAAAAAAACCCTATAAAGCACGGTTCAATTTGTTCCAACAGGGGAAAAAAATCCTTCCTGATCCCATAAGGCAATCGGATATTCCCGGGATCAACAATCTCTGATGTCTAATATACCTATAAGAACTCAATATCCAGTAATATTCTGTGCATTTAGGAAGATTTTTTTTTAAACAATTAACTGAACTCGCTAGAACTAGCTCCTGGGGGAGTCCATTCCACATTGTCACAGCTCTAACTGTGAAGAATAATTTCCGTATGCAACGGTTAAACCTCTTTTCCTCCAGACGCAAAGAGTGTTCCTTGTCCTTTGCAGTGACCTTAACGTGAATAATTTGGCACCAAGCTCACTATATGGACCATTTATGTAGTTATGCATGGTGATCATGCCCCCCCTTAGTCACCTCTTCTCCAGAGAGAACAAATTCAGGTCAGCTAATCTTTCCTCATAGCTGAGCTCCTTCATGCCTCTTATGAGTTTAATTGCCCTTTGCTGCACCTTCTCCAGTTCCACAACATCCTTTTTGTGAACTGGTGCCCAAAACTGAACTGCATATTCCAGATGAGGTCTTACTAATGCTTTATACAGGGGCATGATGATGTATCCATCTCTGCAGTCTAGACCCCGTATAATACAAATGAATACTAATTGCTTTTTATGTATTTTTTTTTCTTTTAGAACACAATGGAGAAGAATACAACACATGCCTGGCCACTCAACCTGGATGATGGAACGATCTATGAACCTTTTACAACTACCAAGATGATATCATCGGTGCTTCTTCTCATAGCATTTGTCTTTGGATTGATTGTGAATTCTTTGTATCTTTGGGTCCTTTGGTTCAGGATGAGAAGAATGATGAACACAACCTGGTTCTTTCACTTGATTTTGGCCAACTTCTTTTTTACCCTCATCATCCCATTCCTTGCTGTGTATGCGATGATGAAACCTCGCTGGATCTTTGGCCTTTTTATGTGCAAGTTTGTTAACTCTTTTATGTCAGTATGTATGTATGAATCTGTGTTCATCCTCACAACAATTAGCCTGGACCGATACTGCTTGGTGTTTTACCCTCATTGGTACAGGGAACATATGACCCCTCGCAAAGCTTCTCTTATCTGTGCAGCATTGTGGACATTTGCTCTTTTATTCAGCTCGCCTTACCTAGCATTTCGGAATCTAAAATATACAAATAACATCACCATTTGCTACAATGACTACACCTTTTCTGGCAAGTTGGATCAAAGACAGATCAAATGGTCCTTCTTTGGATTCCGCTTGCTTGTGGGATTATTAATTCCTCTCGGTATAATCACAATTTGTTATCTCAGTATTTTCATCAAGATAAAGAGCGAAAAAATGGCTAAGTCTACCAGACCATACAAGATCATTTGTACAGCTATCCTGTCCTTCTTCATCTCTTGGACCCCTTATCATATATGGTATGGAATGAGTGTGGAGCCTGGCAAGTTCTCAGAGACGACACTTGGGTTCTTACAAGTCCTGACAGTTATATTTACGTGCATTAACTACTGCCTTACCCCGATACTTTACCTGTTCATTGTTGAAAGCTTCAAAAACATATTTAGGAGGTCCTTGGTGGCCCTAATTGAATTGGTACTTAATGAAACATACACCTCCGCAAACAGGAGTTTGGAAGACAGGAAAGAACAGGAAAGAGTAAGCATTTCAGTAAAGGATGTAAAAGAAGAACGCTCTTGAACAAACATCTGGCAGGTGACTTTGGCATGCTTTGAGCGATCACTGATACATCCAATACCCCATTATGAATCATCTAGGATGTCGTTAAAGGACCATACTTTCGGTTTGTTGGATTATTGTGGGCTCAGCTAGCTCCTGGCTTCTTGTATGTTTTGGGCACTTCTTCGGTGAGAACTGTCTGCCATAGTTGCTAAATCTGCTCTTGTCCACGTGAGAGTTTTAGGTGTTCTCGCCCACCTTTGCATGTTCCAGATCCTCCTGTTACATTCTCCATTATATTGAAAGAACTAGAGAATCCAGCACAAAATGTGAAAGGTCCTCCAATGTGCAGACCCAGGACCTCTCACCAGTAGAGTCACTGAGAAATAAAGCTAATTGTCCCGAGGTTTAACTCTCCATCATCTACTAAAAACTGAAATATTAGTTTTGGTTTGACTCACCTTTAAAAGATAAACTTCAGCCAGTTTTCAAAAATCTCCCTTGGTGGCTCTCCCCCGAATAGCAAGCCTTAAATGTTCATTTGGGGATGTAATAAAGACAAATATTTACCACCTCCTCCTCCTCCACTCTACTTTGCTCACAATGTGGGCAGGCTCTCGTTGTCCTCCTATACAATGCAGGACTGCTGGTTCTGCATTGTACATGATGGCGCTGGTAAAGGGGATTTTGGGGTTAAAAACAGACAAGCGGAATACACTTTAATGGGAACTCCACTAGGGAAGTCAGAAATGGAAAAAGATTTAGGTGTTATAGTAGACCGCAGATTGAATAACAGCTTGCAATGCCGGGCTGCGGCAAAAAAAGTGATCAGAGTGCTTTCTTGTATTAAAAAGGGAATGTACTGTAGAGATAAAGCGATAATTTTGCCACTTTATAGATCACTGGTTCTGCCTCATCTTGAGTATGCGGTCCAATTTTGGTCACCAATCAACAGAAAGGATCTCCTGGAGTTGGAGAGAGTCCAGAGAAGGGAAACAAATCTCATTAAGGGGCTGGAGGACCTAAGCTATGAGACAAGGTTTCTAAATTTGGACTTGTTCACACTTGAAGTGAGGCGATTAAGAGGGGACATGATTTTAATGTACAAAATAGTTGGTGGTGATGGCAACATCAGCAGTAAATTCCTTAAGAAGGACTAGAGGCCACCACCTAAAATTGCTGGAGAAAATATTTAACCACGAAGGACTTAGCGGCTTCTTCTCAATCAGAGCGGTTACATTCTGGAACTCTCTGCCACAAGCAGTGGTATCAGCAGAGAGTATTGAATCATTCAAAAATCAATTAGATACAGAGACCGTAACATACAAGGGTACAGGGACTCTTAAAACCTTAGACCCCAAAGGACTCATATACACAGATGCACACCTTACACACACTTACACACACTTACACACACAGGTTGAACTTGATGGACCTGTGTCTTTATTCAACCTCAAATACTATGTAACCCTACTATCCTAAACAAGATTCTTTTAACTGACTGGAGTAAAGCTTTAAATTCATAATTTTCAATTCGGTTTAAGAACACTAGTCACATTTTTGTCTATTAAGTGTACTTAGTACAGGGGACAAATATATTGTATTATATATTGTATTATACTCAGTAGTTGTGATTGTCTGTCCTCTTCCAGGGTGTGTTATATTTATATATCTATTTTTATATATATATATATATATATATATATATATATGACTTTGCAAAGGTTTACAAAGGTCGATGGAAAGTGAGTCTTGCGTTGAAGCATTATATTTTATACATTTCTAATGTAGCAAAGAACCTAAAAACAAAAAAAAGTGTTATGTTTTTGGTGTACATAGCGTGGCTCTGTCTACTTCTTCTTGTTGATTCAGTTTTGTATTCAGAAAATGCTGACATTTTTAGCTAAGATGCTGGTCGGCCAGCTGTACAATATGAGATATTAGCAGTCTTTGGCCTCATCGGTCAGAGAATAAGGTACAGCACGATCTCTCTTGAAGTCTTGCAAACAAAAAGTAGTACACAGAGGGTAGGAGATACACAAAGATACTAGACATGTGCACTGGCAAAAAATAAGTTTAGTTTCGTTTTGATTCAGATTTTGTGTTATTTTGTTTTTTGGGATTCGGGTGTGAAAGTCAATTCGGATTCGGACTAAATTCGTTAGCGGTAGTTCGTTCGAACGCTCATTTCGTTTCCATTTCGTTTCGTTCATCCATTCATTCGTTTGCAGCAAAGTGACATTTGAGGGGAATTTTTTTTTCCCCTTCTCTAATGTCACTTTGCTGCAACGAACGAACGAAACGAATAAGCAACGATTGTTCGAACGAACTACCGCTAACGAATTTCGAAAACGGAAATTCGGATTCGTTTGCATTCGTTAAATCTGTAATTCGGATGCATCCGAATGTCCGAAAATTCGTCCGAATTTCGTTTCGCAACGAAACAAATCGCATATGTTTAAAAGATACTACAAAATCTGATGCTAAAGGATATTAAAGGAAAGTATAATGGTTTGGGGCCAATATAATAATACTAAAGCTGAGGCTCCCAGACTCGAATGGCATTCGGAATCCAAATTTCCGAATTGCATTTGGGACCTCCCGAATGCCATTCTGGTCTGGGAGCCTCAGCTTTAGTAATATATGTATATGGCTCACATATGCGAATGGCATTGGGGAGCTCCTAAATGCAATTCAGAAATTTGGATACAAAATGCCATTCGAGTCTAGGAGATTCAGCTTTAGTATTAATATCTGTATATAGTTTTATGTCGTTCATAAACTCATCCGAAACTAACGAAATTCGGATTTTATCCCAATCCGAAACCCGAACCGAATGCCGAATTCCGAAATATCCGAACCAAACCGAATTTTCAGCATAAAACTACATGTCTATTCCAGATGTCAGTTGCCTTAAAAACTCTTAACGATAGGTTCATATAGTACAGGGATGGCCAAACTCCGGCCCTCTAGCTGTGGTGAAACAACAAATCCCATGAAGCATCTCTCTCTGGGAGTCATGCCTGTGGCTGTGAGAATCTTGCAAAGCCTCATGGGATTCGTAGCTCCCCCACAGCTGGAGAGCCGCAAATTTGGCCATCCCTGATGTAGTAGAAGAACTGTACCACAGCGCACAACAGAAGACACAGTCATCAGCCACTTCCAAAAGTGTCCAATACACAAAAGTCTGATTGAGGCTACAGCACTTGAATAGTGCAAAAGTAGGGGACATGGGTTGTAGAACATGGGCCGCCAGGGAGATGAGTATAATAACACTTAGAAATGTACTTTAGGAATATGCCATTAAGATGTTTTTTAGATAAATATTATTGTTGCTTCAAGTTGATTTTCTGTTTAGACCTAACTGTGGCCTTCCAACAGACAATGAAGTTAGACCGTATTGTCATACTTAGGCAAGCGTCTTAGTACATGGTAGAGTAATGAGCACCTAGCAGGACCACAAAGCTACTAACAGCTTAGCAGTCAGGATTAGAATAAAAAGAAAACTGTCTCCACAATGAAAAGGTGACAATTGGGGGAATGGTGGTTGAAGTAGTTTGGGCCTCTTACTTTATATGTAGTTGCTTCCTGGGGAGGCTCCCACTGGTTCTTTCTCAGTTGGGTCAAATTGGGAACAAGGTAAGGGAGGTCAAGAATGCATAGAGGAACTTATACAACCAAGTTCCAAAACAAAATCTTCTGGGCCTGTTACAACTCATTATTATGGGTAATAGTTGGAAAAATTGAAAATCATGATAATGATCACAACAGACCAAAAACCAGACCTGCTACAGTTTTACACACAGTAGTGTGTGACCACACGCTGCAGGTTTGTTGAAAGAGTGCGTTGGGGACCCATTCACAATAAATAGCACTGCAGCTCACCTATGCACTAAATCCGTACGTTGCTGCTGTGCAGTGGTGTTAATGGGCCCTTAAGCTTAAAGCTAACTCTGGGCACAAAACCTTTAATTTAAATATATTCCTCAATAGCTACAAAATATATACATCCACGTTGTGGGCACCAAATACCTTTACAAACTCACATGTTACCTTGTAAATCTAGTAGCGACATCATCACTGTGCAGGGTAGGGAGCAGTGCTGTAAGACTGACCCAGCAGGCCCCACCCATTTCAGGAAATGACAGGAGGCGGGCAGAGACAAAACCAGTCACCCTGCACGATGCAAAAGAGCAGCAGTAACGGGTCTTTATTACAGGAAGCTCCAAGTCTCACACTGGATTACTGCACAGATCTGGAGAAAAATACACAAAGCTCACCAAGATTTAAGTAAAAACACACATAGACAATATTTGCCCATCCAGAAGTATCCATAAGTGTTTCCCCGTGCCGTGACTGTCTACCCACTGCCATTAAACAAGAGAGACTTTTATAGAAGGACTGATAAGAGGTGGTAATCATGAACATTGATACGACTTTGCCTTCCACATCCCCTCTTGCTCTGCCTATTCAATGTGAAACTTTGTATCTGGTAAGCTTACTCACACGCAAGTACATCCTTGAGTCATTGTTGGCTCACAGTCCTAACCTAGTTATTGGTTTCTTGTCAATGAAGAAGTGCCGGACGGCTGGTGGTATGTTTCTATTCTTGATAGGTTTTTCTCCATTTGCTACTTTGTATAACATGGTGTAAGCGTGGAATATAGTGGATAAGTCTGTTAGGAACCAGAAGACTGCAGAGCGGTTTCTTCAGCCCTGTTGGCATGGGTCTTCTTATTTTTGGTATGGAAATAAAGTGAAATAAAGGTAAAGTAACAATAAAGGCTAATCCCCCACCCCCTGCCATGTTAGTGTAAGGAATTACCTTAAATGATGCCTCTTGATCCGATCATCTTCTACTTTACCGTAGTTTTCAGCTGTCCCTCCAGCGCTGGTGCCGGTCTCCGGTCCAGCGCTGACTTCTCTGTGCTAGCTGGCACTTCCTGTCCCATGGAGTCTGTGCGGGTGCACGCCACTACCTAGACTTACCTTGTGTCTCTCCTCCTCTCCCGGCCGAAGAT